ATCTCAAATCCAGAAAGGAATCTCACCAAATCACTGTCAACAGACTCTTTCCAGCCAGCTATATTCCAGGTTACAATTTGTATAAATCTGAAACAAAATGTTCTGGGATTGTTGATCTCATAGGAGTCATTATTCAACAAACTCTGGTCTGGTAATGAGGACTCTGTATCTGTGAGCCCAGTAGCTACTGCTAATGACACGTCAGGCCATCCTTCTCATTTTCTAATTGCTGTTTCTGAGGACAAGTAAGGTCAGATTGAGAGCTGATAGCAGAGAGCTGCCCTAAATCAGGCCTCCTATGGGTAATATTGGCTTGCAATAGTGAGTGGCAAGGTATGGATGGAATATCTCCTTGAGAAGTAAGATCAGAGTTGTGGACAATGCTGGGGTCAGCTGGTGGAAGGATTTCTGGAGATTGCTCAGACTGATACTCAGGAGCCAGCAATATTAGGTAATCACCTACAGACTTATCTTCCAAATAGTTATGTGAAAATTGTGCTACACTGACCCGTTGGATGTCCTTTTCTTTTGTATAGTTTTGCTTTGGACTGGCGCACCTTTTTTTATTTGTTGGGGATTTTGTGTTCTCAGAGGCTAGACTTAACATTTCCATGGAGGAGCAACTAGAAGGAAGTAAGGTGTTAAGAGTCTCAGTTGCAGCAGTGGCTGACTGCAGCATAGATTTATCTGTTTCAAGCTTGCTTAAGATCAGTTGTTGTTCCTCTGGGAGGAGAGTGGCACACAGTTGAGTTAAATCTTCCTAAAAATCATCTAAAACCTGTGTCTTTCCTTTAATTAGACCTGGGGTATCTCTTTCTTTGCGTTTTTCCTGTTCTGACCTTGGCAATAAAGGAGTTCTCCATTTTACAGATAGTGGATGGTTGTGATTAGAGCTTGTACCATCCTCCCTCACTGGCTTGGCTTTCCTTCCAGAATTTAGCAAAGGCTGGATACAGCTGTTGTAAAAAACATGTATTGGCAGAATATAGAACCTCCTTAAACAGTTCTTAAGTTTGAAAAGCATTGATGGAAGAGTAACCTGCCTAAAAGTTAACATTATCCTTTTAAATCCATGCCTGCTAGGAAGCCAGATTTCTGTAAGTTCATTAGAGTATACTCTACATTGAAGAAGTTGAGAAAGGGAGTTTAATATTACCCATCTATTATGCCACTTGCCCTTATTCAAAGGCGTATCAGCAACTTGAAGCAAGATCCTGTGTCTCTGCAAGATTAGTTTCTCCCCAATATCTTCTTTAACTGGAAATCTTTGTACAGACTGTACTGTCCGTGGGTTAGAATAAGTTTTGGAATGTATGGGTTGCTATTCGTTTCCTTAACTGATTTGGCAATATGCTTTTGTATCAAAGTCTTTAATTCATCTATTTTTTTGTGAGCATCCGCCTCATTTTCTGAGTAAGGGCAATCATCCACTTCCCAGTCCAAAGAGGGTAAGAATTGTTAATGGTGGTTACAAGGGGAGAAGGTAAAGGAGACTTACATGCTGTATCCTTAAGCTGGAATAGATCCTTTATCTTTGGTTGCCTAAGTCATTGTAGCCTTGACTTGTTTGGGGTTTCCTCTTGGCTGGGTCTCCTGTTTGTGCCTCCTTTTAATCTTTCTTTTCAAATTCTTTTTTGATTCTGCTTTATAATTTTGCATCCTTGATTACTGTTTGAAGTTAGGATAGCAAACTAATTGCTAAAATGGCTTGAATAAAACTAAATAAAAGCCCTAAAATGAGTAAAAGTTCAAGAGCTCTTTACAGAGCTGCCACGAAGTTGAGAAGATGGTTGGACTGCAGTTGAAAGGGTGCTCCTTAAAACCCCTAAGAGGTGCCACAGGGCTCAACTCTCTTTCCCCTCCCTCATATATTCAACATCTATATGAAACCACTGGGTGAGGTCATTCCCTGGTTTGAGGTTCAGAATCATTAGTTCATCTTTTGACCGCAGGTGGCCAAGTGAGGCTGTCAAGGTTCAGTCCCAATAGTTGGAGGCTGTGCGGGTCTGGATGGGAGGAATCATCCTACCAAGACCGAGTGGCTGTGGGTGTTAAGGCCACCTAGATCTGGGGATATTCCATCTTTAACCTTAGTTGGGGTAGGAAGTGGTAGCTGCGGCCAGGAAGGCCTTTGCACAGCTTCATCTGGTGCGCCAAGTGCAGCCTTTTCCCTGATATCCATACAGCTCCCACCCTGATGATATTCCAGAGGGCCTTACAGATCTAGCTTTCCTCCCAGGCCTTGGGCTGGCCTCTTCTGAATGTATGACATGTTTGTCTTGTTGTCTGAATTTGCCATCATATTATATGCTTTTTTATTGTATATTTGTTGTTCTTTTTTATGCCGTGAGCCACCCAGAGTCGATTGAGTCAGGTGGTACCTAAGTCAAATAAATAAAAATACAATACAGCCCAAGGCATCTCACAAACAGTTTTGAATAATTTTCCTCAATAAATAAATCAAGTGAAAACCTGATGAAAATAAAAACTCAGATGAGCAAAATAAATAAAACTGTGGAAAGCAGAAGAAACTCTCCCGTGCCAGGAAGACAGCAAAATCTATGTCTTACCAGCTCCATTGCACAAGTTAACCTTGTTTTGGTTAGCGTGTTACGCAAACCCCTAATATTTGCTTAGTTTACAGTTTGGAGGATTGTGTAGGGGAGGTAATTCGGTGACGAAGCGAAGCGCGCTGTGCGGAAAATGGACTGAGGGGTTCCACAGAAGGGGCCGCCGGAAGGGGCCGCTGTCGGCCCTCCTCGCATCGTAAAGCTGCGGCAACAGAACCCGGCGCGTCTGCCCGCGCTGCCCTCTCCCTCGACCTCCGTGCGAGCGGGGGAGGGCTCGGGGCCTTCTTATCTGACCGCCGCCGCTTCGCCTTCAGCAGCCGCTGTGCGCCCGGGCCCA